CAAGGTCGGAGGTTCAAACCCTCCTTCTAGCATTTTTTATCATTGTTTTTTTTTTCATTTAAAGAAACTTTTATTATTATTATTTTTTTAATTTTACTAAGAAATTAATAAAAACAAATATGATGAAATAGCTCAGAGCATGTGGCTGTTAACCACAAGATTGGAGGTTCAAACCCTCTTTCTAGTGTTTTTTATCATTGTTTTTTTTTTCATTTAAAGAAACTTTTATTATTATTATTTTTTTAATTTTACTAAGAATTTTTTTCAAACAAATATGCTGGAATAGCTCAGTTGGTTAGAGCGTGTGGCTGTTAACCACAAGGTCGGAGGTTCAAACCCTCCTTCTAGCGTTTTTTATCATTGTTTTTTTTTTCATTTAAAGAAATTTTTATTATTATTATTTTTTAATTTTACTAAGAAATTAATAAAAACAAATATGATGAAATAGCTCAGAGCATGTGGCTGTTAACCACAAGATTGGAGGTTCAAACCCTCTTTCTAGTGTTTTTTATCATTGTTTTTTTTTTCATTTAAAGAAACTTTTATTATTATTATTTTTTTAATTTTACTAAGAAATTTTTTGAAACAAATATGCTGGAATAGCTCAGTTGGTTAGAGTGTGTGGCTGTTAACCACAAGGTCGGAGGTTCAAACCCTCCTTTTAGCGTTTTTTATCATTGTTTTTTTTTTCCATTTAAAGAAACTTTTATTATTATTATTTTTTTAATTTTACTAAGAATTTTTTTCAAACAAATATGCTGGAATAGCTCAGTTGGTTAGAGCGTGTGGCTGTTAACCACAAGGTCGGAGGTTCAAACCCTCCTTCTAGCGTTTTTTATCATTGTTTTTTTTTTCATTTAAAGAAACTTTTATTATTATTATTTTTTTAATTTTACTAAGAATTTTTTTCAAACAAATATGCTGGAATAGCTCAGTTGGTTAGAGCGTGTGGCTGTTAACCACAAGGTCGGAGGTTCAAACCCTCCTTCTAGCGTTTTTTATCATTGTTTTTTTTTTCATTTAAAGAAACTTTTATTATTATTATTTTTTTAATTTTACTAAGAATTTTTTTCAAACAAATATGCTGGAATAGCTCAGTTGGTTAGAGCGTGTGGCTGTTAACCACAAGGTCGGAGGTTCAAACCCTCCTTCTAGCGTTTTTTATCATTGTTTTTTTTTTCATTTAAAGAAACTTTTATTATTATTATTTTTTTAATTTTACTAAGAATTTTTTTCAAACAAATATGCTGGAATAGCTCAGTTGGTTAGAGCGTGTGGCTGTTAACCACAAGGTCGGAGGTTCAAACCCTCCTTCTAGCGTTTTTTATCATTGTTTTTTTTTTCATTTAAAGAAACTTTTATTATTATTATTTTTTTAATTTTACTAAGAAATTTTTTGAAACAAATATGCTGGAATAGCTCAGTTGGTTAGAGTGTGTGGCTGTTAACCACAAGGTCGGAGGTTCAAACCCTCCTTCTAGCGTTTTTTATCATTGTTTTTTTTTTCATTTAAAGAAACTTTTATTATTATTATTTTTTTAATTTTACTAAGAATTTTTTTCAAACAAATATGCTGGAATAGCTCAGTTGGTTAGAGCGTGTGGCTGTTAACCACAAGGTCGGAGGTTCAAACCCTCCTTCTAGCGTTTTTTATCATTGTTTTTTTTTTCATTTAAAGAAACTTTTATTATTATTATTTTTTTAATTTTACTAAGAATTTTTTTCAAACAAATATGCTGGAATAGCTCAGTTGGTTAGAGCGTGTGGCTGTTAACCACAAGGTCGGAGGTTCAAACCCTCCTTCTAGCGTTTTTTATCATTGTTTTTTTTTTCATTTAAAGAAACTTTTATTATTATTATTTTTTTAATTTTACTAAGAATTTTTTTCAAACAAATATGCTGGAATAGCTCAGTTGGTTAGAGCGTGTGGCTGTTAACCACAAGGTCGGAGGTTCAAACCCTCCTTCTAGCGTTTTTTATCATTGTTTTTTTTTTCATTTAAAGAAACTTTTATTATTATTATTTTTTTAATTTTACTAAGAATTTTTTTCAAACAAATATGCTGGAATAGCTCAGTTGGTTAGAGCGTGTGGCTGTTAACCACAAGGTCGGAGGTTCAAACCCTCCTTCTAGCGTTTTTTATCATTGTTTTTTTTTTCATTTAAAGAAACTTTTATTATTATTATTTTTTTAATTTTACTAAGAATTTTTTTCAAACAAATATGCTGGAATAGCTCAGTTGGTTAGAGCGTGTGGCTGTTAACCACAAGGTCGGAGGTTCAAACCCTCCTTTTAGCGTTTTTTATCATTGTTTTTTTTTTTCCATTTAAAGAAACTTTTATTATTATTATTTTTTTAATTTTACTAAGAAATTTTTTGAAACAAATATGCTGGAATAGCTCAGTTGGTTAGAGTGTGTGGCTGTTAACCACAAGGTCGGAGGTTCAAACCCTCCTTTTAGCGTTTTTTATCATTGTTTTTTTTTTCCATTTAAAGAAACTTTTATTATTATTATTTTTTTAATTTTACTAAGAATTTTTTTCAAACAAATATGCTGGAATAGCTCAGTTGGTTAGAGCGTGTGGCTGTTAACCACAAGGTCGGAGGTTCAAACCCTCCTTCTAGCGTTTTTTATCATTGTTTTTTTTTTCATTTAAAGAAACTTTTATTATTATTATTTTTTTAATTTTACTAAGAATTTTTTTCAAACAAATATGCTGGAATAGCTCAGTTGGTTAGAGCGTGTGGCTGTTAACCACAAGGTCGGAGGTTCAAACCCTCCTTCTAGCGTTTTTTATCATTGTTTTTTTTTTCATTTAAAGAAACTTTTATTATTATTATTTTTTTAATTTTACTAAGAATTTTTTTCAAACAAATATGCTGGAATAGCTCAGTTGGTTAGAGCGTGTGGCTGTTAACCACAAGGTCGGAGGTTCAAACCCTCCTTCTAGCGTTTTTTATCATTGTTTTTTTTTTCATTTAAAGAAACTTTTATTATTATTATTTTTTTAATTTTACTAAGAATTTTTTTCAAACAAATATGCTGTAATAGCTCAGTTGGTTAGAGCGTGTGGCTGTTAACCACAAGGTCGGAGGTTCAAACCCTCCTTCTAGCGTTTTTTATCATTGTTTTTTTTTTCATTTAAAGAAACTTTTATTATTATTATTATTTTAATTTTACTAAGAAATTTTTTGAAACAAATATGCTGGAATAGCTCAGTTGGTTAGAGCGTGTGGCTGTTAACCACAAGGTCGGAGGTTCAAACCCTCCTTCTAGCGTTTTTTTATCATTGTTTTTTTTTCCATTTAAAGAAACTTTTATTATTATTATTTTTTTAATTTTACTAAGAAATTTTTTGAAACAAATATGCTGGAATAGCTCAGTTGGTTAGAGCATGTGGCTGTTAACCACAAGGTCGGAGGTTCAAACCCTCCTTCTAGCATTTTTTATCATTGTTTTTTTTTTCATTTAAAGAAACTTTTATTATTATTATTTTTTTAATTTTACTAAGAATTTTTTTCAAACAAATATGCTGGAATAGCTCAGTTGGTTAGAGCGTGTGGCTGTTAACCACAAGGTCGGAGGTTCAAACCCTCCTTCTAGTGTTTTTTTATCATTGTTTTTTTTCCATTTAAAGAAACTTTTATTATTATTATTTTTTTAATTTTACTAAGAAATTTTTTGAAACAAATATGCTGGAATAGCTCAGTTGGTTAGAGTGTGTGGCTGTTAACCACAAGGTCGGAGGTTCAAACCCTCCTTCTAGCGTTTTTTATCATTGTTTTTTTTTTCATTTAAAGAAACTTTTATTATTATTATTTTTTTAATTTTACTAAGAATTTTTTTCAAACAAATATGCTGGAATAGCTCAGTTGGTTAGAGCGTGTGGCTGTTAACCACAAGGTCGGAGGTTCAAACCCTCCTAATAGCGTTTTTTATCATTGTTTTTTTTCCATTTAAAGAAACTTTTATTATTATTATTTTTTTAATTTTACTAAGAAATTTTTTCAAACAAATATGCTGGAATAGCTCAGTTGGTTAGAGCGTGTGGCTGTTAACCACAAGGTTGGAGGTTCAAACCCTCCTTCTAGCGTTTTTTATCATTGTTTTTTTTTTCCATTTAAAGAAACTTTTATTATTATTATTTTTTTAATTTTACTAAGAAATTTTTTCAAACAAATATGCTGGAATAGCTCAGTTGGTTAGAGCGTGCGGCTGTTAACCACAAGGTCGGAGGTTCAAACCCTCCTTCTAGCGTTTTTTATCATTGTTTTTTTTTCCATTTAAAGAAACTTTTATTATTATTATTTTTTTAATTTTACTAAGAAATTTTTTCAAACAAATATGGTGGAATAGCTCAGTTGGTTAGAGCGTGCGGCTGTTAACCACAAGGTCGGAGGTTCAAACCCTCCTTCTAGCGTTTTTTATCATTGTTTTTTTTTTCCATTTAAAGAAACTTTTATTATTATTATTTTTTTAATTTTACTAAGAAATTTTTTTAAACAAATATGCTGGAATAGCTCAGTTGGTTAGAGCGTGTGGCTGTTAACCACAAGGTCGGAGGTTCAAACCCTCCTTCTAGCGTTTTTTATCATTGTTTTTTTTTTCATTTAAAGAAACTTTTATTATTATTATTTTTTTAATTTTACTAAGAATTTTTTTCAAACAAATATGCTGGAATAGCTCAGTTGGTTAGAGCGTGTGGCTGTTAACCACAAGGTCGGAGGTTCAAACCCTCCTTCTAGCGTTTTTTATCATTGTTTTTTTTTTCATTTAAAGAAACTTTTATTATTATTATTTTTTTAATTTTACTAAGAAATTTTTTCAAACAAATATGCTGGAATAGCTCAATTGGTTAGAGCGTGCGGCTGTTAACCACAAGGTCGGAGGTTCAAACCCTCCTTCTAGCGTTTTTTATCATTGTTTTTTTTTTTCATTTAAAGAAACTTTTATTATTATTATTTTTTAATTTTACTAAGAAATTTTTTCGAACAAATATGCTGGAATAGCTCAGTTGGTTAGGGCGTGTGGCTGTTAACCACAAGGTTGGAGGTTCAAACCCTCCTTCTATAGCATTTATCATTGCTGTTTTTTTGTAAATTTGCTAAGAAATTTTTTCAAACAAATATGCTGAAATAGCTCAGTTGGTTAGTGTGTGTGACGGTTAACCACAAGGCTGGAGGTTCCAACCCTTCCTTCTAGTGAGCATTCACCTCCTTTATGGAGCATCAACGTTGGTCCTTTTTCAATAATTTTATCAAGACTTTTTTGTTTGTTTTTTTTATATGCTCAAAATTCACTATCCTTTAGGGCCGAGCGTCCTCGTTAGCACACGATGTCTAGCTTCAATATCCATTTGTATCGGTCGAAGCCCACCACTAACAAATATGCACTCGTTTTCAAAATCAAAACTTTTCTAAATGACGTGACCTTAGAGTGTTTTATTACCTTTCTAGGTGGCCTTTGATTATCATAATTCATGAATAATTCCTCAAAGAATCAATTCTTAATTATTAACTTTTTATCTTCTCTTACTAAGATTTAGGAGAATGGGACACTGGGGTATCCGGTGTGACCATTAAAATTATTGTTATTTCAGTACATAGAATAACAATGAAAGTCATTCCATTGTCTGAGACTGGAAGGTCCCACATCAGTTGAGGAAGAGAACGAAACACCCTTTACAAGAGTATGAAAACCTCTCTTCATTTTAAAAACCTTGAGGGAACACCCAAAAGAGGACACTATCTGCTAGTACTGGGCTTGAGCCGTTACAAAGACTCTGTCTCTATCGAGCCTCTCGGAGTGCTTGGTATGCTAGGGGTTGTATTCCTCAGAAGGCTCCAGACGAATCAATCAAATGTGCCAGTCGTATGACCATAACTAAGCCGGCTCGATCTTTTTCTTATTATGGTCAATTTAGTTTCGGTTGGGCAATATCGATCATCCACGAGACACGACAACAGTTTTGCTACTTTTGATAGACAAAAACAACAAGAATCACAAGACCCAAATCCATACATTTAGTGAAAGGCATCCAAAGAAGATGACATTAAATCATAGTTTTATAGCCACACATTAGAAGAAGAACACATTCGATCCCCTTTTGAAAATGTTGAAATCCCTGTAATGGGCAGCTTTGCTTTTCAAATTCTCTTCGTTGGATTTGGGCTAAAGATTGTTATTCGACAGGGACGGAAGAGGACTACGATGGCCAAGTACTTACATGTCCTTCTACAACCACTTCTCCAAAAGCCCTATAAATTGGGATTTTCCCGGAAAATTACTTCTCACAACCTGTTTGCCTCATTTTCCCGGAAAATTTCTTCTTCCAAACCTGCTTGCCTCAGATTGTATGGCAAGGACTTCTGTGCAGGCCAATGCATTGCTTTTTAGGTAATAATCATCCTTTTGTTTCTTTCTTTTGTTCTTTTAACGGGGTCGGAGTCATGCACGAACCTGCCCTCGAAATGACGAGGGAGAAAGGAGACGTTTCTCCCCGTTATCTAAACCGGTCGAGAGATAGTAATTACATTCCTTGTTCCGTCATGCCCTAGTCTTTGCCTCACTTCACTTTTATATCAAAATATAAGTATATTATTGTAACAGTCCAAATCCACCCCTAATAATTATTGTCCGATTTAACCTGTTACGTATTATCGTCAGTCTTATGGTTTTAAAATGCGTATACTAGGGAGAGGTTTTTACACTCTTATAAGAGTGTGAGATCTCATCATCCACCCCCTTCGAGTCCCAGCGTCCTTGCTAGTATGCACAACTAGTAGATATTGTCTACTTTGGCCCGTTACGTATCGTCGTCGGCCTCACGATTTTAAAACGTGTCTACTAGAAGAGGTTTCCACACTCTTATAAGAGTGTTTCGTTCCCTACTCCAACTGGTGTGAGATCTCACAATCCACCCCCTTGGAGTCTCAGCGTCCTCGCCGGCACACTGCTCGATGTCTGACACCCACTGTTAGCCGATATTGTCCGATTTGACCCGTTACGTATTGTCGTCTACCTCATGATTTTAAAATACATATACTAGGGAGAGTTTTTCACACTCTAATAAGAGTGTTTCATTTCCTACTCCAACCAGTGTGAGATCTCACAATCCACTCCCCTTGGAGTCCCAGCGTCCTTGCTAGCACACTGCTTGGTGTCTTGCACCCACGGCTAGCAAATATTGTCTCCTTTGACCCGTTATGTATCATCGTTAGCTTCACGATTTTAAAACGCGTTTACTAGGGAGAAGTTTCTACACTCTTAAACTCCAATCCATGTGAGGTCTCACAATCCACCCCCCTTGAAGACCCAGCGACCTTGTGGCACACCGTTTGGTGTCTAACCCTCGCCTCTAGCAGATATTGTCCGTTTTAGTCCGTTACATATCGCCGTCAGCCTTACGATTTTAAAACGCGTCTACTAGGAATAAGTTTCCACACTCTTTTAAGAGTGTTTCATTCCCCACTCCAACCTGTGTGAAATCTCACAATCCACCTCTTTAGGGTCCTAACGTCCTCGTTGGCACACTACACAACGTCTGACACTCATCTCTAGCATATATTATCCCCTTTGACCCGTTACATATCGCCGTCAGCCTCACGATTTTAAAATAATGATCTCTTTTTGCAGGAATGTGAAGCAATTGAGGCGCCAATTCAGCAGCCTTGCAAATAGCTCACATAACAAAGAGGAGACAGAAACAGAGCCATTGTCCTATAACTCATCAACGTGGGTGCCCCATCCCCGGACTGGAATATACTTCCCTCAGGGCCATGAGTGGGTCATGAAGGATGTCCCTGAAAATGCAGCTTCCTTCTCTCCCGTTTTCTGGTTCCGGGATTTCGATGGCGTCGACGACCTAAACCCCGACGCTCATCCCTCTCCCGGACCTCGACTTGCTGCTGTTTTAGGTGCCGGGCAGGATTGATCTTGGGGGAAGATGGCTATCAACTTCAGAGTTAGCATAGGAGTTTAAAGTTGGAGTATGGATGGCCAATGACCAAATTGGCCTAGGAATAATGTAAAGTATGATGGTGTAATGATCACTTGCATCTGGGAAGATGGTAAATATTGCATAATAAAGTGAATAAATTTTATTAAATTTATCGTAATGTATCAACTTAAATGTGATACCCGAATAACATAGAGGTACGTAAATGAACCAGAACTACATTTGGTTGAGACGATCCATTGCCTTCACCGTCAAAGACCATAAAACTTGCCTTCACTGACCCCAATATTAGAGTCGCTTACTAAGGTTCCTCTTACACCTTGTATGCGCATCAAAGACCACCTTGTGTTCCTCTTACACCTAGTATGTGTGTTCCTCTTACACCCAGTATGCGCATCAAAGACGACCATGGAACTTGCCTATGATAGTTGCATTTATTTTCTTAGATCTTAGGTTAGTACAGGGCATGGTTCTTTTAATATCCTTGGTTAGTGATAAGTCAGTTGACTATGACAATGTGAGATCCCATGTTGATTGGAGAGGAGAACGAAACATTTCTAATAAGTGTGTGGAAACCTCTCCTTAACAGACGCGACGATACATAACGAGCTAAAGTGAAATCCCATGTTGATTGGAGAGGAGGACGAAGCATTCCTTATAAGGGTAGAGAAACCTCTCCTTAACAGACACATTTTTAAATCGTGAGGCTGACGGCAATACGTAACGAACTAAAGTGAACAATATTTACTAGCAGTGTGTTTGGACTGTTACAAATTGTAACAAAGTGAGTCAACGGGCAATGTGCCAGCGAGAGGATGCTTGCCCCCCAAATAGGGTGGTTTGTGAATCTCATATCGTTTGAGAAGGGAAACGAAACCTTTCTTATAAGATGTGGTTATATATGAATAGTTATAACTTTTTTAAACCTTTTTGTTATAAAGGTAAAAAATGTTAATGCTATTTTTAAAGTTTTATAGACATTTTTTTAAACATAATACTAACGCTAAGAATATTTTTTAACCTTTTATGGTAACTTTTTAAACGGTTAAATACACTACAAAAGTATTTTTAAAATTTACAATATTTAATGTTTTTTTATTTTTTTATTTTTTTAAATAACATTTTATGGATATTTTTGAGACTTTAGGATATTTTTTTATAATTAATTTACGTTTTTATTTTTTATTTTTTTATTTTTTTAATTCTCCCGAATTATTTAATCATAAATAAAAGATAAAGATAAGAATCTAGTAACCTGTTGAGTTCCGATCCAAGCTCGAGTTTTCCGTTCTCTTCGTCTTCATTCAATCTGTCTCGTAGCGTAAGCAACCAAGCAATCCCCCGCCATTTCCTGCAACTTCCAGCGATATTTCTCTGTAATTTCCCCTCTTTTGCTTCCCAGTTTAAATCCCTCTTAAGTTTCCGCTTCCTTTTCCTTCCCTTTGTTGTGAAACCGCCTTCAATTTCAGATATTTCGTCAAATTTGAGGGGAAGAACAAGCATTCGAGCAGCTGAGTCTGTGTATGACGAGCGCTTCGGAGCTGTTTCATAGTCGGAGGTATAGGTTGGGTCGCACAGACGCGGATTTAGGGCTTGATTCTGAGCCTCCCGATCGGCATCTTCAGTATCAACGCCGCCATCATGGTCATAATGGCAATCACCGCCGCGTTTTGAACGCATGTGGTGCTTTCCGCCGGTCCTCGCTGCAAGAACGCCGTCAATCTCCCCGGTTTTTGGATCCTGTAAGAACAAACAAATTTGACGAACTTCTCTGTTTGTGTTAACTTTATCGCGTGCGGATTTTTCTGTGTTGTTCTTACTTTGGAAATGATTTTGACTTCGAGAAATTTATATTAATTGGCTGCTAATTGTTGGAGTTGGAAGAACTGTTCAAATTTTATTTTGATTGAATTATGTGTTTGTTTCTGACCTAACAGTGTTTCTAAACTGTATAGCCAGTTAGGAGGAATATGTTGAAAAGAGCAGCTATGCCCTAATTCATCAACTTAAGTCCTTGGTCTGAGAGTACTGTTCTTTTCACCTAACCATTGACTTCTGGATTTTGGATTGATCTAACAAGAAATCTTGTCCACCCTGCTGTTAATTCAGTGATTATTT